GTCATCGGCTACCTGGAAACGTCAGTTGTTACCGACAAAAATAAAACTAAACAAAACAAACCCACCAACCCAGAAAGGCGTTTAATTTCCCAAAATTTTATTTTAAAAGTTATTCTACCAAAAGAGACGTTATTGGAAAGATGAAGCCTTGCTGCCCACAGTGCGGCTGGCTGTAATCTCAAGCCCTATCCCCATAAGAAAGCTTTCCTAGCTGTACTGTAAGTTTAGAGCTTTTTCACAACACGTTTGGAACTTGGCAGAATGCTTATTAACAACCTTTACTTAAAATTATTCCTGAAAATTTAAGGAGACTGACTCTTGAAAATGTTGCTGTATCATTTATGAGCACTGTAGCTTGGTAGTCATAAACTGGTCCCTTACTCTTTTTCCCATCAGAATTAATAAAACACACAAAGACCAACAAAACAAAAACCTTTAATCCAGCTTTCAAAATGTAGTAGCTGTACTAGCAAAATTGTTTCATGTTTGTATTGTTTTTTTCTTAGCAATCCCAAACAGAATTCCTACTATCATAACCAATACCTGGTGGCTACGCATAAAAAATAAATAAAACCCCAACAGTTACTTTAATAAAAGATGTCAAATACCAGAATCACTAAGGTTAGATGAGGAATTCAGACGTTTAATTGGAGGCACACTAGAACTGGATGCCAAAAGGGGCTAAAGATGGGATTTTTGACTGTGTAGGCTCCTTGTGATCTCTGCTAGCGACAGGCAGGTGTGGACCCAGTGGTACAGGTACTCGGCTGGAAGGGAGCCCTGCTGCCACACTGCTGCTCTAGGAACACCTGAAACAAAGAAGAGAGGTTAACTCTAAAAGTCAAAACTGCCACAGGACTAACAGGAGATCGTCCAAGCAGTGGAGCTGTCCCTGAGCCCAGTAGTTCTACCCTGGAAAATGGTGATGCTGTGAGGAGCACACTGGATTGTTGTGTCAGTAACTGAGCAAGCATAGGAATGGTGCCTTTTCATCAGAAATTATTCTGTATTGTGGTAGGTCCCCTGCATACAAAGTGCTTTGCTATAGTTTGATGCTAAACATTGGATAATTAAAAATGTATTGAGAAAAGTGTTATTTTTTTTCCCCCAACCTCAGATTTTATTTAAGAGTAATTATCCTACAAAGGTCTTTTAGGAAATGGCATTAAAGGTCACCATGGAATCATGCCATTAAAGGTTGCTCTGACGATAGAGAGTAGGTGGGTTTGTGCTCTGTTCTGCATAACACACATACATGGAACATATGGGCATTAGCTGATGATCATTTTAAAGGAAACACTACAATTGTGAGTTATACCTGCATTCACACCACTGATCTGACACTGCTCTCTCAGAAGTTCCATACTGGGAAACTAACATTTTGTAGCATGCCAGCAGTTTGCCAGTGCTGTATTATTCCTAGCTACTCCAGCATTCTTAACTGGAGAGAGACTAGATACTCTAGGCCTGCTTCATTCTTTCCAGTGAATTCCAGCTTCATAGGTATGAGGAGAACCTATGAAAAGGAACTCTGACTTCATTTAAGTGTTCACTGTTCATGAGTAGATAGGGTACTGCTGATAAATATCCCCAGCTAAATTAACAAGTCTTGTCCACATTTGATTCTTAACAGGCCTCTCAGACTGGCATGAGATCAACAAGGGAGAGATCTCAATGAGAACAACAGTAATTTCTCTTGCAGAGATACTGCAAATAATAATAGCCTCTTGACTGCTCTGGCACCAGAATAGCCCATATTCATTAAAGGAGAGAAAGACAGACTGAAAACCAGCTCTGAATATGGCCAGTGAGTGTATTAAGTACCTGGCAGATGGTGTTTACAAAGAGGAGGGCTGACACTGTCCTCCTGCAATCATGTTGCTGTTTGGAGCTGGGTCAGTCCCTTGGGTAGGGCATGGAGGTCTGAAGTAGATTTACTTGCCAAAAGAACCATCATTCTTAATATGTCTTTCCATATTACTTGCCAAAAGAACTGTCATTCTTAATATGTTTCTCTGGAGGTTTACAATGAGATCACTTGTTCTAGTAGGTTTCAAAGCTGATCTGCTCCCCTTTCCTTAAGGCAGTGTATCTTGATTCTAAATTTAACAGGCTGACTTTTATTGACCAAAAAAGACTGCAGATATTTAGGACCTTTGATCTGTTGTTTAATCTGTTCTGAAATCAAAGTTAATTTCTGAAGTAAGGACCTCAAAAGCACTCAGCTGAAGGTTGCCACTGCCACTGCTTCATTGCTGAGCCGTGTCTGGTCATCTCACAATTAGCTGATGATATTTACCAGTGATGCAGTCCAGCAACAGCTCTGCTTGAATTAGCACAGATGCAGCAGTTGGATCAAAGCAATAAATCTCCTGAATCAAACTGTCATCAAGTTTCTGCAATGCAGAGAACAAAAAGAGTCAGGTGGTGGTCAGAAACTTAAGAAAGGGTTACAGAATTAAAGATGGCTAAGACAAGCATATAGGAAATTTGTAGGTAATGGATTACTCCTCTGCCAATTCACCTTTGGCAAATTCCACTATAGCTTCTTGTGAGAGGAAGAGCAGAAAACAAAGTCTCAGCATTTTGAAGTCTCACCAATTTACACTGACTCCAGTTCTCAGTCTTCTCTGAGTCCTTCCAGTCTGGATGGAGAAGCAACAGCACAGCCTTAACTATGTTATGTACCAGAGCTGGAGGTTCTGCATAGCTCTTTATTTCAGCAAAGCTCTCCACATGGAGTTTCTGGATGCACTCACGCAGGTCCTGCAGCAGGAACCGGTGGAACAGAATCCCCGCATGCTTCAAGTTTGCCATGTGTTCTGCCTCTGGAATCAAAAGCAAACCTCTCAAGAAGATGCTCAGAAATACCTGCTATCAGGAAAGCACTGAAAAGGCTCTGCCCTCTTAATGATTAACTCTTTGTCTCCTTGACTGATAGAATACAGCCAAAGTATCCTATGAGACTTTCAAAAAATGGGTATGTGCTTGAGGAGACAAAATTTGTCTCAGAGGCAACCAGAGGTCCTGAAACTGCAAACAGTTCAGGCATGCAGAAAATTCTGTAACTGTGACATTCAGATTCTTTTGATCTTAGGAGGACATGATAGATCCCTGAATGCAACCAAGTGCCTTGCTTCACACCTTTGATTTCAGTGGGACTTGGACACAAAACACCCTGTGAACCAGAGTCAAAATCTAACCATTCTGTTTACCTGTACCCTGCTAATCACTTAGGCTTGCTCAGGAGTGGTTTATATGTACCAAAGGCTTGTATTTGTCTTTCCAGACTTATAGGAATGATACTTCAGATGTGTTTTTACTGAGATTCACATTTTCACCCTAAAATAACTTTCTTGGCTCTGTATGCACAATACCCAGTACATAGGTTGGTTCTGTTTCCTCTGAAGACCTCTTCAGTATCTCAGAGCAGGCAGCTTGGGCCATCTTTAGCATTTTCTGCAGGTCTTTGTGTTCATGAGGTGGCAATTTCTGGTGGTGTCCAATGCTGATATCAAATATGCCAAAAGCTTGTCCTGATAGGTCACGGAGAGGTACTGCAGTGTGGTATTCTCCACAGACAGAAGTGCAAACGACCTCTGAACTGTCTGTGCACTTAAACAGGTAATCTCTGAAATGAGTGTAAAGAGAGGAAAATGTACTAGACTTTACCATTCTGGTTGCTTTTTAAGTTTTAAGTATCATTGAAGCCATATACACAAAAGAGATAATAGTGTTGGGGAATATTCCTTAGCCAAGGCAAGTGCTGAAAATTTTAACAATTTAACAAACCTTACTTTAAAAGCAGGTTCCTGTTTATAACCACATTGATATTTGTTCTACAGAGTTTCAGAAAAAGTAAAAACATCTGCTGGAACAGCAAATGGCTGTTCAACCAATGTTGACAACAAGATGATGTGCTTAAGAGAGAAGTCCATGAGCATCTTGGCAGTGGAAGGGAACAGATAGTTGAAGGAAATGAAACTAATATGGCCAGGAAACAAAGATAGATTATTCTAAAGAGAAAATGGTTCTGTGCAGGTTCTAATGCTGAAAACCTTTCACAGCACATGTTACTTGGCAGCTCAGTTGGTAAGCATTAAGATGGAAGTTAAATTTTTGCAGGCCTAAACTCAAAGAGAAAATAGTCCTCAGCCCTCCACAATTCAGTATCACATGAATACACACCAGAAGCCTTGGTAGTGAGAGCTCCAGCCCGACACTCCTGCAGGGCTGCATTACTATGGGCTTTATGTAACATTCACGACGCCTGATGCAGGCTGGAGTCTGGGACCAGAGCTGACTAGTTCAACTGCAGGTGCTGGAGCCTACCTTAAGAGGTTTTCTTTTCTGAGGAGAAGAACAGGAGAGCTATAAATTTCTTTTTGTCCTGTATTATCTATATTAATCATCTTGCGCAGAGTGTAGTCCCAGGTCTGCCAGAGAGAAAAGGGAGGTTTAACCGCATGCAAGAAAGGAACAGCCATTTTGAAGCTTGGAGAGGGAGGAAATTGTTTATTTCTTAAAGGAAACTCCTGTGTGCATTCAAGTGCAATGGGGTGGTTTAAAGACATCTCCCAACAATGCTTGGTTTTATTCTCAAGCTGCATGAAGAATGTGCCCTGGCCCTCCCTCAGTCAGCCTATTTAACCCACCCCACTGCCCCACACTGAGGAACACCCACAGGCCAAGCAGAGGTTTCCCTTCTGTTTCCCAGCCCTCTTTCTCATGTCATGTTTGTGTCAGTGTGCCTTGACACGTGAAAAGCACAGAGGGGAGCAAATGACCTGGCTATCAGGCAGCTAACAAGGGAACAGTGCAGAGCCTGGAATGACAACAGAAAGCTGCCAACATAAACCTCGCTTATCGGAGGAAGCAGCTGAATTATGGCTGCAGCAGATGTCACACAGACTTTGTGAAGATACAGGATCAGTCCTAAATATTGCATGCATACACTTTTCATCTCCTTAACTGCCTTGACTGTGAAGTGACAAGCTTCCCAGGGCCCGAGTGCCTGCTGAGCAACTGCAGTACGACCTGCAGGGAGGGGGCTGCTTTTGCAAGATGGCTAATTGGGCAGCAGCTACTTCCCAAGTTGCATTTACATCTTGTCTGCTGACATTAGTTCAGAATGAAAAGCTAATACATTAGCTAGGACATGCTTTTTTCCTATAAAATACCATAATTTTTACATGCACAGAATCTCCACAGAAGAGCATTTCCCTTTGGGGAGATCCCAGATAGCAAAGCTTTAGCAGGGACTTGCAGTGTTGGCTAACCTACAGATGGATGGATGGATGGATGTGGGGTTTTGCTCTATTGGTTGCTATGCAGCTGTGAGGACTGAAGTAGGAGAATATTCCCTTTTCCCAAGGAAAAGGAGCTATAATAGCAGTGCTCTTGCATTGTTTTACATGGGAGGATGAAAAGAATTAAGAGTGGCCTCCTTTACAGAGGGAATCTTTCCAACTTCATAACCCTTTTGTTGCACAGGCAGGCACAAGACTCTCAGGCAGACTTCAGTGTTTATGATAAAACCACTGGGAAATCAGAGGCAGAAATGTCATGCCCTCACTGAAGCAGCCTTTCTGCCCCTATTATAGGCCTTCAATCTGCCTACCTTGTCTTCGCCAGGCTTCACCAGGTACATAGTAACAGTGTGGATGCTGGGTGCCCTGGGATACAACCAGTCCAGAGCAGTAACAGTTACTTGTAGAACGTTTTCCAGCGTGTGGATATGGTGGTAGGCTTTGCTGAAGGCATGAGAAACGCCCTGTGAAAGCAGAAGCATTCAGATGAGCCAGAGAGTTCCACATAATTTGGAGAAAAAAGCTGGGGAAAAGTTCATGCAGCAAAATGAAGAAAAATGGTTGTAAAAAGTTACTTTATTTGGAACTTGTAAAGCTGAAAAGTGACAGTGAAATGTCCCTTATCAAATAATGCTCTACAGCTCCAGACTGGCCGGGTCCCAGCCAAGTCCTGGAGTAGACAAAGCTGGTCGTTAGTGGTGCTAGCCAAAGTGACTGGCAGTGTTGGCTTGCTGCGCTCCCTGCTGCCCGGACGATGCATCCACAATGAGGCTGCTTCTAAAGAGCGTCCTGAAGAAATCCAGACTGCTGGGGCTTGTAATTGTTCCCCCATGTAACAAGTAAGACTTCATGGCACTTTATGGAAAGAAACCCAAATATGAGGTTCAGATCTTCAGAAAATAAAAGATACTATCTTTGGGCTTTGTACAAAAGTGAAATTAATTTGCTAGTTAGAAGAAGCTTAAATAAATTATTGATTAAGTGATACCTGATAATCAATTACAGGTAAGATGCTATTCAGTAGGATATTGATAAGGTGTTCTGCTCACACCACTTTCACCACATAGACTAAAAAGGCAACCACAGTCCTTTTCTAAGTTATGCATCTTATGTTTGCTCAGAACCAACATGTAAAATTCAGGTGGTCCCTACACAGCTCTTTGAAGAGTGCTTTCTGCTGGTGCCCACCTGGTAGAAACTGATCTCATGGGACAGGAAGATGGTTTTCTCACTCTGCTCCCGGAGAGTGTCAAGTCCTAGAATGCCAAAGACCCTCCAGCGAGCGTCGTGCACCGGCAGCACCAGGAATGAGCCTTTCCTCTCCTCCTCCAGGCGGTCATGGTTCCAGAAGTGGATATTTCCATGAAGCTGAACTCTTGGAACATGAATTGGCTTTCCCTCTTCAACAGCTGCAAAGCTGGAAAATAAAACTTATGAGAGGGTTTTTTTTAAGAGCAGCAGAAAACCTTTAGCAAAGCAATAACTACTGCAGCTTTGATCTCTCCCTGCTTTTTGGTACCAGAGAAGGAAGCTCCTTACTCTGACCACACCCAGAAATACCATATTTACCACTTGCATCCCAAAGACAGTGGTAATAAATAAGGCACTTTTCATCCTGAGGACATTTTTAAAACATCAACTAATGAATGTAATCCAAGGGAATACTGAAACAAGCAGCAGTTACATTCAATATGTTAAAGGCAGCAATATTTAAAGAAAGAGGCAAATATGTTTAGCTTTTGGAAACAAGAAGTAAAGAAGCAAGAAAGATGTTTATGGTGTAAATACTAGGAAAGGAAATGCATTGTTCTCCAAAAATAGCCCCTGGATGTAAACTGGTGTAAGGGAATTAATTTTTAAAGAAGAAAATATAGGGCCAGTATAATAGACATTTGCTAAAGGATGAGATTTATTAGACTGTGAGCTAATCTCCCAAAGGAAAGGAGTGAAATCTCAAACACAGCACTTCTAAGGAAGCCCTGCAAAGTGTAAAGGCATGTGTGTGATAGTGAATCATTCCTCAAGGGTCCCTGAGGAGATCCCCTCTCTGGAGTACTCTATCAACCTCTCTTTGCAGTGCACCTCAAACACTGCCTGGTACCCCTAGATTTCAAATATTTTTGACAAAAGGCCACTGTTATTTGCAGCTTTTCTTACCTTACTCCTTTCATGTCTCTGTACAGTATCTGGTTTAGAACATAGGGAGCATCAGGTGCAGTACATGCCACGTAGTGCAGGAGAATCTGTCCCCGCTCTGGTGAGAGCCGGTTCTCTTCCAAAAGGGCAATATATGCACTGATCTCCTTGTTATCCCCATGGGCTTCTGCATCCTAGCAACCAAATGTTTCCCATTACATTATGTACATTAGCCATTGGCCATTACATTTATTTCATGTACTTAGCACTTGTCTTATTTTCTGCTGAGATGCTGTTCTGGGTCACTGATTTTCTGTGTCATGACACGTATGTGCCTATGCTGTGATCACGTCTGACCTGTATGCTCTGTTACAAGCAAAACCACTTTGTATTTTGATTGGCAAAGAAAATAGATTTCTTCTTTCCTGCTGCCAATGTGGAGCATAAAATATATAAAAATAAGCCCTAATTAGAACCTGCACCTAAGCAAAATTCCTATGGATTTCTTCTCCAATAGGAAATTTCTTTGGAAAAATCAAATGTGCCAGTTGCTACATTTACATACCTAAACATTGTAAGAGCACTTCAGCTGCTATGAGAGAAGTTTTGCTTTGAGGAGGGCTTTAATGGTGAGGACAAGCATCTAAAGATGCAGCTGCAAGTTAAAAATCAAACTATATCTCCACTAGAAATGAACCATCTTGGTCCCAAACAGATTCTGGTGTGTCCCATATCAGAAGATATCTAAAACTAGAACTATAAATTTCCGAATTTGATCCCAGTCAGCTCTTCAAGAGGTGAGATATAAGTATCCCTTTGATGCATTCTGTATTGGCAGAACATGAACACCAACTGTTGTATTGCAGACTGTGACTCACTCTGGGTATAACCATGGGCTCTCCTGAACACCAGCTAAGTGCAGAAGAGCACAAGGAAACCAGCCTCAGACCAGCTTCCCGTGCCACCTGCAAGTCCCACTCGGGCACACTGGGGTTGAAGTCAGTGTCACAATCCCAGCACAGGTGACTCTTGTGCTCCCTGGGCAGCGTACCTGGGAAAGGGCTTTGAACACTGCTTTGTAAACCAGCTCCATGCTTGCTCCACTGCTTTCAGCTGCTTGCTGGATATTGTGCAGCCATTTCCTCCTGGTTAAGCTTCGCAAGCACTCCATGTGACTTCGTTCCACATGTGTGTTCAGAAACTCCACAAAGTCATCAATAGCTTCATTCTCATCACCAGTGAACTCAGAAGCAACTAACTCAAGGAAAGTCTGGAATGCCTTTGAGGATAGCTTCTGCACTCTTCTAAGCTGGGGAGAATGGGAGTAAAGGTGTTTCTTTGCTAGCAGAAGAAACAGAAAATAAGACAGGGACAGTCTATTTGAATAAAATGTTCTGCTTTTCTCGTGCAAAATATGAATCAAGCCCTGAACTGGCTTTGGATGGCATGCTCTAGTCCATCATTCTGGGTTTCTTTGAGCTATCTCCCCCATGTAAATTGTAAACAGGACAGGTAATCTCCAGCTTCCAGCCGGGACGCACCTTTCCCTCTAGATGTCTGCTCTCCCACCTACTGAGAAAGACACCTGCAGGGCATAGCTCCTGTGCCCCCTCTGTGCCTCTGCAACACACCTAAAAAATAAATGTCAGTGGAAAATAGGAAAGCTGCTGGGAGTTACCAAACGTCAGAGAGAGGTATCTTCATATTTTATGGACACTTGGGCTGGTGGGGCTGGGCTGCAGGCAGACATTCTGAATACTATAATAGTTGCTGAGACCTTTAAATCAATCCCATTAAAAATGTGAAGAATGGAGTCTACAGATGATTTCACAGATCACTCATATCTGGATTTTCCATTATATACCATTACTTGCAGATATTGTATTTTAATTTTGAGGCCTTCCAAAGTAACTATCATTCTTAACTACCCTTCTTTAGGTGCCTTTGATGAATTCTTAAAATAACATTTGTATTTTACCAAATCTCATAAAGTAAGAGTGAGGAAAACAAAAGATCTATGGAAGTCATATAGAGGTCAGGATAACAGTGCTCTGGAATCATCTGTACTGCATCAAGGGATGTAGATGTGGAGCAAAAGGAGCAAGAGAACTTTGATAAGAAATACTGGGTTTAGAAGAATAAATTACTAAGAAAAACATTTAAAGTGGTTAAACTGCTGCCTGCTACCTTCCAGAGAGTGAAGGACTAAAGATGACTGCACAGAGGCTGTTCCTTCCTGTCTTGCACAAGGCTGAGGAGTGGAGCTGTGACTCAGTCCCCTTTTCCATGTCCCAGGGAATGCAGCTGAGCTGGCTCAAATATGGGCAAATAAGCTGCAGCAGAAAGGTCTGGCAGCTTCCTTTTGCTTGGAAAAAGAGGAAATGAGGAATGCCACAAGGCTCAAATTATGATTCTCAAAGAATCACCTTCCTGTATCTAGTCACTCTCGTTGACAAACTTCCAATTTGCCCAGAGGTCCTGAACCCAAACGGGACTCCTCTCTGCCTCGTAATCCTAACAGCCCGAGCATGAAAATGTAAATTTAG